GAGATTCGGAAAACTCGTATTCTTTTGCGCCCTTAAACCGCAGAGTTGCCAAATAGATTCTTACTGATTCGATTTTACATGACAGCTATCATATCTGACTGGTATCTCCAGGATGGATATGCATTTAATATGAAACTCCAGCATATCCGTATAAAATCCTATTCCCTGGACTAATACGATTTTTATCGATTTTTATGACATCGAGCCTTCGTATATACGTAATTACGTGTAATAAAGCAGCGTATTATACATAAACATTACCTTTTATCAGTGTTGTTTCTTTTTATATCAATAAATTGACTTTATGATTTTATCGTCTATCTTCAGATAAGAAAATTTTTTTTTTCGTACGAATCAAATAAGTATCTTACATACACGCACTGTAGTGGTCGGTATTGTCATTGACGTTTTTAGGAAAACAAATTTTTTTTCAGTGTCCATTTCAGTTTTGGTCATAGCAAATTTCAGAGTAATTAATTCTTAATCGAATTCTGCATCGACGTTTCGGCGTTCCTCGATGTTTGTGCAATGGAGGTAAAGGCGAATCTCTAATTGCGACGACTTAGGTTAATTAAAACGTACACGCGGTATTCAATCTATTCCATAAAAGAGTGATGTTAATAGCACCGTAAATGATTATACAGTCACGTCTGTCCGACGACAGGAAAGCGGTGGTATTATCGCGCCCATTATGAAGGCTGATGCACAACAAAAGGTAATGTAGAGAGACGACGGGAGAGGAATCGCAAACACTCGTACGGTAAGACCGAAGCCGTTGCGCAAAGTCGCCAGGATGCAAACGTAACGCGGAGCGTGAATAAAACAATAGCACAGGGTGACACTCAGTGGTAACTTTGCATTATTAATATAAAAGAAAATAATAAAAAGAAAGAGCGGCGATCGAATCGTCATACGTGAAATTCGCTGAATACGCCGCTATTGTCGCGCGACGGTATACAATGCCAAGCAGAAGTCTTAAGAAACACACAACAAGCGAAACGAAAGTGCAGCGTGTATTTCGTCACGACAAAACACGAACGTAACAGGAAAAGAGTACAGCGACAGTATTCGCAAGTTGCGACACGAATTCGAAAGCTCGACAAGGCGACGAATCGATCAAGTTAATATCGCCCAAATCAATAAACCAATGAAGGTATCGAAATGAAACGTTAAACTTACCGAATTCCCGGCCAACGATTGGAAATAGACCCAAAAGGAAAGCACTTTTCACACACTAGTTTAGCACGGGTTGTCGAAAGTTATTATTAAAAAGAAGAACCAAGAATAACTGGCAAAAATACAAAATTCACTTAATTCACCGTGCGACACTTAAAAAAATTTTTATATTTACCGCCATAAGGGTGAAAAGCACTGTTACTAGAATCCCGATCCACGCACACCACCGTCGACAGCATAATAAAAATGTCCGAAGTCCGTCCGCGATCACCCGGGTAAAATCACAGAATTAAATAACAGAACAGACCCGAGCGCATTTATTTAATTCAGTTTGCCAATGAACACTGAACATTTTCGACCGGCGCTCGTCGCTCACTGTAAACAGCGCAAACAGTACGAACAGTGAGAGTGGGCTCGAAGAAGCGATAGAGGACTGGCCCGAAGTGACAGGGTGGGATTTCCAGGTATACCAGACTAGACTAAACCGAAGAGAGAGACAGTGAGAAGGGACGGCGGAGCGCGCGCGAGAGAGAGGGAAGGAAAACACGTGTTCGAGTCTGCGTAGAAGTGAAGTTCTACATAAGTAATGCTCGCTCGGTGTCCAAGACAAGACTGAACTCGCTCAACTGAATTCAGTAGCGATTTCGTGGTGCTCCAATCAGGATTGACTACGCCGCCGCCTGTTGGCTTCATCCTATCTATGGCATCTCTATTGCTATGTTCCTCCGTCTCACTTTTTTGTGTACTACATCTACAGACAGACATAATACAGATTAGACGGTGCTCTTTTTATCCGTATTCTTTTGCCTGCTTGAATAAGCTCTGACCTGATGCGAATTGTATGTCTCTGTCCGTACCTTCAAAAGGCGATCTCTTTCCCTTCTTCTTAACTCTTTTTTGTACCAACTTCAAAAAGGGATAAGGATTACGTCTATCTGCTTCCCGTTCATTTTTCCGGTCGTGTCTCGAAGCTGACAGAGCAATGAAAAATTGTATTTTATCCAATTACCCAAGGTAGTTGGATTCTGTGGATCTTAAAAAAAAAACGATTTTTAATTTTCACATTTTTTTAAAATCAACTTTCGTATTTATGAAAATGCTTTAAATATATTTTCCCTACAGTACTTCCACAGGTTCTACGTGTCCTTGTATCGTAATATTATTCCAAGAACTAGTTTTCCAAATCATCATAATTACTCAAGTACACAGAGTATCAATATCCTTTACTAACAATGCATATATCGCATTCTAAATGAACGAAGTCCCAAAATACGGTCTATAGGGATTTACAAAATTGCTCCTAAACTTATCGACAAATCTAAAGCTCGTGAACTCCGATAGCAACTGCACGAGGAAAAATTGTGCCGCTTCTCATCGACAGTTAGAAGCAATGGCACCAACAAAGACATGAGAAAAGTACCTAGCGCCATTAGTGCTTTACGATCGAGTTTCAACTGTCAGACAAAATCCCATAAAAATAGCGAAAACTGCTCTCAGCTCGGAGCAGCCAAGAGCAAAGAAACCCGAGTAAGAGCGACACACATCGATTCGAAATCCCAAGAAGCTGGAGTACACAGAGACATCAGACAGTACTTAAAAAATTTACAAAACATTGACCCAGGTAAGTATCTACCCAAGTACCCACATTGGTACCACGTAATAATATCGAATATAAAAAATCCTCAAAACCCACGCGTTCCCATGGAACCCGACTGTAAAACGTGCTCAAATTTTTTCCGAAACATCCATAAAAACATTATCCGGCTAAAAGTGCTATATATAAAACCGCAAAAGATAGCATTGGCAATAGCGAAAAAGAAAGAGGTCACGTTAAAGCAAACAAAAAGTCGCAAGCACCCATGACGGAGACGTTTCTCGAAGGGTTCGAGAACCTCGTCGAAGGTTAACGTAGGCGCACGCTAGTTTGCCAATTGGTAATATTCCACGAGGGCTATCGGTAAAACGGGATAACGTTAGGGATTTGGCGTGAAGGCCTCGCGGCAATGAAAATAAGTCTTACATTCACCGGAACGACTGTACGCGCGGCTAACGACGGTTAGCCATTAATGGAGCCGATCGAGGATCCAGGGTCTCGTACATTAAGACAGTTAGGACAAAGGTCTTTGCAATTATTTTTAAATCACGAGACCCTCCAGCCTATCTAATAAGGCCTGGTATCCATGTAACTTTTATGACGGACGCACGTGCCAATGCCCGAAGACAGATTTCGTCATCAGACTTGACGCTCGAAGCCGCCGTAAAGCTGTATGAAATACCAAAGTAACGACACGCTGCTTGGTCATTGAGAGACGAGCAAGAAGGAGGTACCTGAAATACGTGAAGAAACTTTTATTCTCCGGACTGAGAAACGTAAAATATCGTTGACAATGCAAAGGCCGCGCCGCGTAGCACTTTAGAAACAAATATCCAAAGCACTCATTTCCTTGAGCAATTTGACGCGACGATCGTTCGCACGAGCGCGATTTAGTTGGCAAGGACATTAGCGTGCCAGCGGACACGTAATAAGACTGTAATTTGTCGATCCTCGAACCGTAATGAAAACCGGCTTATACCTATAAAAAAAAAAGTCATCTAACTATTTTGTTATCACGATTCAAAACACACGGGTAAAACTCGATCCCACAAGATGGCCTACGTGAGGTAGAGTTTCGAAAACTTCTAGAACCTAACCTGATCCAGAAGTTTGGTTATATACATATATATACACACGTAGACATAGATTGTAGAGCGTTCACTCGTTGCCCAAGGTAAATGAACCGTGAAGTATCTTCGAGGAGTGTTCCTTGGCTCTGTGATGTACATGGGTAAAGGGTATCCATTGCCATTGAATATACATACGTAGATGCATACAAGTATTACGGCATTGGTTAGCAGCGCGCATAGTTTAAACTCGTAGATACAGTTGCACATATGTTACAAAATACAGCGATACTTTCGAGCAAGTGCCGGCGAGAATCAAGTGGTAAAGTATGTAACGTCCGTGCCCACTCAGAACGTAGAGTCGATTAGAGTGATGGCGGATGCTTGTTTATGGTGGCTCATGGGGGGCGAGAACTGCCGACGACAGCGCCGTGCTGCCATTTTATTCCGTTCGGCGCGCGCATGCGCACTGAGCGGTACTCTAGAATTTTCAAAGCGCTACGAGCAACCGTCAGGCACGGACTACGAATAGTGTAGAAAGAAAACTGTGCTATTATGATATATCTATTAACGCTATCGCGTCAAATGATCTTAGGGACTAATTTTCCATGAGCCGAAAAATGATTTCCATCTAACCAATCGGTCCGGCATAATCGATCGTTGCCATCCAAGCTGGTGGTCGATCATGGCAAGCTACAGTCCTGAATATTTTATCTGTTTGTCAGTCTCGCTTGTTTACGTATTTCGCGGATAAATGACACCAGCTAATTTCAATACACTGGATAATAAATGGTCTGGGTGTCATTCGTGCATAATAACAATCGTTATCAGTCAATGATGAGGCGATATTAGGTAAATTTGTTTAAATTCAAACAGTAGGCGTAATCGATGTAAACAGAAACGCACGATATTCATTGAAACATTCTAAATCCTAACGCACGTACAGGCATCGGGTGTACGACTTTAAAGGTCCTTTCACAATCTTACAAAATATCTCCCCCTGCCAACCCGTCTTTCCATACACTTGCGATCCTACTAACAATCGATAACCTTCGATTGATACCGTAAAGTTTGCGACATCGTCCAGCGTCTATATTTAGCACGTGCGTTGCCTACCCGGTTGCATCTCGTTGCGTCGGCCATTACTTTTGCATTCGCTGTAACACAGAAGGCAAGTCGGCAAGCTCTTGCGTAAGGCACGTATGGTATGTATGTTGGTCAAGGCAATTGGGTTACCAGCGGACAAGAATTTTCCAGCGATATTCGTTCCGATTCGCACGGGACCTTCTTATCCAGTGATTGGACTATGAATGAAAGATATATAATTAATATAGATCGTCCAGAAGCGGTGTCGAACGAATCAATACAAACAAAATAATCGATAATTATATTAAATACAGAAATAGTATACCTACCTATGTATACTCAACTTCAATGGGTCGTGCATCGTGCAAATGCCAGATGGCAGTGCTGTTATCGACTTTGTATGGGAATAGAAAAATAACAAAATGGAAGAACTAAAACAGTGAAGGCAAAGAGAGATAAGGTAACGGTTGCAGAGCCGGGTAGTATCTCGAACGTTATGCACGATTAGGAAGGAATAAATTAGGGGAAAAAAAAAAACATTTATCCATTATCGAAACCCAGACAGACTTAAGTAGAATGGAATTCGTCTTTCGTAGCAGTCATTGTCAATGGTCAACAATTTTTATCACAGCATTGACATAAGCGTCGAGGCATTGACCTATAGGCTATAACACGCAGGATCGTTACGGACTACGGGAAGATTGTTGGCAACTATGCAAAAAAAATTTTTTTCAAAAATAAATTTTGACCTCGGAGTATAAATGGGTAAAAAAAAATTGTTATTGTGTCAAAGCCAAAAAATTTTTCGAATAATTTAATCCGCGTTTTACAGCTATCTGCAATAACTGGGAGCTTCGGTGAATTATCGACAGGAATAATCGTGTTTCTATGTGCGTAGGTTGATAGCCTCGCTAACCTGACCTAACCTTAAAAGGTTTTCATGGGGTGTGAAATCAGCACGGTTTATAGTACTGAATGTATAATGCGATTTTACACCAGACTTGTACGACGACCAATAGGGAATTATTGAGGATATTTACTACGCTTTACACTATGACAGATACGGGGGAATGTTAAACCGCAGTTTCATGGAAACTTCCTACCTACCCTTTATACTGTCTGTTACCTATCCTTACTTAAAATCCCTATATATTCTCCGAGCGCTTACTAGATGCCATACCTACATTCTCTACTGCCATCGTTAACTTCTGTAACCTCAACGACCTCGATCCCTTTTCCCTTAACGACACTGAGCTCATCCCTTCCTTTTTACAGGACTCAACAATTTTTCATTTTCCTTCTTTTCTGCAGGACCTGACGCTTCTACGCTTTCTCACTCGCTGCTCCCGTCGGGTTTTACCGTATGGAAATTCCTGTGGCGCCTCAATTCGGCTTTTGTTAAATAAAAATAATCGCCATTGTTCTTTTCTTTCTCTATTTCTTTTCCTATTGACGTTTCAAATTTACATGCGGATAAAGAATATGCATGACGCAGACAGTAAATAGTATTGAGGTGGAAGCGTGTTTATTGGATCAAGTAGTGTCTGGCTTAGCTACGCGATGATCGGGAACGAGTCACGTTTGCTGTACTGGAAAATTCAATGACGTTTTTCTTTGAGAAAAATAACCTGGATGTATAATGCAGAATAATATTTTTCATCGAGCCATTTTGCCTTTTCTGTTTATCTTTGTGAAACCTGTAAAGAGAATTTCTGTGTTGGATAACTATATATATACTGTAGTCTTTATTAAAAATAATATTATCTATATGTATATTGTATACGTACGCCACGTTGAGTAATACGTGTAAAATTTGTAACCAGATCCCATTCAGCCAAAAGCGCGAACTGCCCGTGCAAAAATATTTAGACGCGATTCATCCACGCGCTTGTTTTGCAATTTATCACTCGATGACGAAAGTCACGACAATCCGGTTCACGAAGATGGTAAAACTTCCAGACGATCGTCAAATAAATGCAACGCAGTCATCGGAGCATAAAACAAAAATGAATAATAACGGAGCCCAGCTGATAGCGAGAAATACGATGCGCCTGAGGCATTAAAGGTGGATGCACACGTGAACGACTTTATCAGGGTTCCTGTTGTGAAACGTTGCATCCTTAAGGAAAGTATTTCAGGAAGGTTTGGAGTAACCTCTTCCCGGAAGAGACGTGTCATTGGAACAGACACCGTAACGTCATTTTTTTTTTCAAGAATGTAATTCAAGACGAATCCACAAAGAATCTTCCACCCGTAGGTATTACAGGATTGGGACAATTCAGTTACACGACAGGCAGACGATCAATTCGAAGATTCAGCTAAGAGATTGATAAAATTATCAGAGGGATCAGCTGATTGGACGAAGAATAATATTTTTGGATTCAACACTACACAAATAATGTATCCCATAACGAGAGTAAGATCTGCAGAAGAAGAAGCTGTCACTTTTCTCACATATATTCACATAAAGAGCTACACCATAGAGCGTGGTGCTGCGTCAATGGTGTAGAAAAAAAATATATCCAATTGGAGATGATCTAACCTTGATCGGGAGTCCAGTTTCGATGTGCACTTCAGCAGCTTTATGATGTCTTCACAAGGACGTCCCTCGTCTCATTGATCCTCTCGCACGGGAGAGGGTCCTGAAGGACCTGCTGAATTTCACGCAGCTTCACAGTTTCAGGACTCCTCACTTTGGAGGCTTTAGGATACGTTGCGAAGCTCTACCACACGGAAAATGGCAGCCCTACTGCACTCGCTCACAACGCTGCCAACCCGCGCACTCCGCGACTACGCGCCTTCGATTTTTGAATGGATTTATCGTGTTTCGCGTTCCTTTAGGGGGCCAGAATTTGACTCTTGTCTTCACTAGGGGAGCTAACAAACGCGAGCGTCCTATTTATTGCGATTTTTGGTAGCGAAAATGAGCGAGTGCCGACGCGATACACTGACAGTGTTTACGGCGCGACTACAGTTGACTCGACGAGTGCGTTTTCCGTTGGCAGTACTGATGACGATGGCTTCATTGCGAGTACGGAAAATAGACACCAGGTGGCAGGAACTGTCTGGTGTTTCTCGGATTGGTCGGTAAAAGACTAGATAAAAGTACATTATTAACTTTACATTGAATCTACTGGCAATCAATATATATTTAAATGTACTGTATATCTGTGGAAATAAAATGATTATATACATTGAATATTTTTAAATACCGGTATCCATATGATTGGAGCAGTACACTAGCGCACTCTGGGTCAGAGCTGCGGCCAAAGTTTGAAACATACGATTCCTGGTACCAACAGTAAGTCAGAATCTGTTGGTAAATAATCGATCTACGAAATAAATAATAAAAAAAACATATAACTGATAAAACATCTGAATTCGACAAACATAATTGATTGTAACGCTGTTTCGGGGCAGGCTGTAATTAAATATTATTATGAAGACGCATCTGACATTCCACAGCATAAGTAACACGAGTTATCCTTCAGGTTCGAAAACTGTGTTTTAAAGCACAACAAGCAGATGGCACTGAGCGCGTTCCCAGAATACATTCAATTATTGAAAAGTTATAAATGCATATCACATATTTGTTCTTAGATATACAATTCCCCAGTTACATTTCTGAATTTGTTTTAAAAAAAAGAAACCTATCCGAATTCCCCACAATAGCACAAAGCAGACGCTGACCGTCGAGATAGAAAATAAATGAAAACACTGGACTTTGACTTCGCCAATGAAAACGATATAACCAAATAAACGTTAAATGATCATTCTATTCGTTCGAAGGAACAAAATATATAAATATTAAGCAGCACTGGTCAGGCATACTCTGAAATTTCAAACTGACTGTTTGACACTGTTGTTTAGGTATTGGGAGCATAATCGAACCGGAGAACGTCGGGGGGTCCCTTTAGACATAACAACAGGCCAGAGTCCTCCAGTCGGACCCTCCTCTTTCCCTCTCAACTCGTCCCCACAGTTCTTAACGCTTCAGGACGCCATTTTGCAATACTCCAGCACCGGCTGGCCCCTTAGACAATTACATTACAGACCCAACCGCTTCTATTCAGACCCAAATATCATTCACCATATGTGAATTAACGACCCTGAGAAAGTCCTCATTCAAACGGCAACATCCCTAAAATCCAATAACCTCCTTGTTCTCCATTAAAAAATATCCTCAAACACCAGCAAAGGCCGTTCGGCTAGCCTTTTCGCCTTGGCAGTCCAATAAATCCGTTTATCTTTCCATCTAAGCTGGCGTGGCCACTCCGGCGAAGATATGAAGTTGAGGCTATCAGAAGGGGCCCTTACGCGACCAGGTCATTTCAATGTGTAAACGTATAGCATATACGTGTCCACCAATCTCAGCATATTTTCTCGTGTGTATCGGTAAGACTGCGTGGGGGTGGCGATGGTCATTTGTGGGACCGACTGACTCCTGGGGGACGAAATGTCTCCCGCGATCCCAGGACGAGATACCGGACACGCTACCCCTTCGAGTTCTTGGCCGGTGATGTCCACCACGACACGCTAGCGTTGTCGGAGACATCGAGATTGTCTTGGAAGTGGTG